TATTAAAATTTATACATTTTTTGACAACTTATAAAGATTTTAATGAATTGACAAACCTTTATATCCTATCAAACAAATAGTGATTGAAATGTGAAATATTAAGTATATTTGGGAAAGAAAAATATATCGAGATTTTCTTGAATTGCAAATTAGATCCGATTCCCGATATTTCTCTTTCTCTTTGAAATCATTAAATTGTTTTCTAAAAGTATCGCTTCTTTTAAGTTTTGAATTATCTTCGAATGGAAGCGAAAGAGTGTCAGATATCATATAACCTGAAGAACCAAACTTTTTGCCACATATTATATTGTCATTCATCGGATCCAATCGTTTTGGTCGAGTGAGCGAAGGAGTGGGCGAAATGTCAGGTGTGAGACCATCGAGGAGGTCGTCCGGGGGTTCTGTACAGTCGGCCCATTGGGGCGAAAGAGTTGTTTCTTCGATTGCATCCATATTTAAAATTTTTGCTTTAATTGCGGAGGCATTGAAAGCACTGGCCGTTTGCTCGATCTTAACGACAGTACAGCGCCTGACCTTCTCATCACTTGTTGCCAATTCAGACATAATTTGTGATCATTTCATTCGTATAGTTATAATTAGAAACAACTTTTGTTCAACAAATTTTTATTAATATTGTTTTTAATTCACGAAATATCAAATATTTTTTAGTATAAACTTTACGTTTTTGAGACAATTCAGAAGAGAATAAGAAAAGCTTAACAACTTTTTTGTCAAAATTAATGGTTCAGTAATTTTGGTGTAATTGAAGACATTTGAATGATAAATACCTTCCACTGATCACTACCGGTATATTCTCTATGAAAGTTCAATAATCTATAAACACTTTTCAAGTTATGCTTTATTTTTCATTTTAAAAATAGCTATAAATACAGAAATTTAAATAAAATTAAAGCATTATTTAAAAGTAATAATAATAACAACATATCATATACTCTTGATTTGAAAATATATTTATTATATAAAAAATAGTTTTAGAAATGATTAAAGATAAGTAAATATATAAATCCATGACTTGAATATTTGTAACAATTAAAAATAGACTAGAAATGTGAATTACACTCTGTATATAATAAAAGTAATTTCTTATTTTTATAACAAAATAAAATGATTGTAAAAATTGTTAAATCTTAAGTCAAATGTTAATCTCAATGAATGTAAGCCTTTGACACTTTTTTGTAAGGTTTTCTATAATATAAGATTTGTCCGAAAATAAACAAATCTATGGACACCTGTAAGAGACCGCATATCCAGAACTGAATCGGAGCTCTTCTCACCAAAAAATATGTCGTTTTGAAGACATCGCCAAAAGTCCACAAAAAGACCATAAGTTTACTATGAATTAAATAATTTATAAATACATTTTAACATAACTTATATATTGATATAAAACCTCATTCCAAGAGTCGATTTATTTTGATAGTTCTTAATGAGTTGTGGAGATCCTAACAGGGCTTCAATGAAAACCGATAGAAAGCCTACCGTTTCGACAAATATTGAGACGTCAATCAATAGATACATTAAAACTCCACAAAAAACTGTAAAAGTGGCCAAACATTCAATATAACTGATAAAATCAGTCCATTGCCAGAAATAGCAGTAATCGAGATCTAAATACAATGTATTAATTAAAATCAAAACTGAAAAGTTATTGAAAAAACAACCAAACATTTATACAACTCATACAACAGACGCAAAATCACAAAGAGGTGCAGAAAAGCCCAAAACCTACCAAAAAACTTTTTTGGCTTCAAATCACAAGTATTTCCACAACCACTACCACTACTCTCTGTAATCAGTTTGATATGATTTAAATAGTGTTTCATTGATTGGATGCAAAGGATAAAGTGTTTTATAGTGAAAAGCAAAAGAATCAGCGATTAATAGAGTCTGGAAAAGTGAATATTGAATTTGTTGTGCGAAATATAATTACAATATAATTACTTAAATCAATGAAATAAACAGAACCCGTTTTATCTAACATGTAATTGTTCACTGAATTCATGCAATTCTTATCATTAGTTAAGTGGTTATTAATGGGATGTGAACTCAGACTCTCTGTTGGCAAAAGAAATCAATCGTCACTTCAATTCAAATTGCATTTCAAATTTGTCTTCAAATAAAATTCAAATTATAATAAAACAAAATTCAAAATAATAAGTGAATGACAAATACCGATGAAGAATCTGTTTTTACTGGGAATCAATAGGTTCTTATGGTTCACCCGAACGCACAGCTCTATCATTAAAATCATCGCCAAATTCATGACAATTGACTGAAGAAGAAGTGGTGTCTCGAACTGACGGCCAAACCTAAACGGGTTATCAATTAGTATTGTTATTCAATTGTCAACCAATTAAACTATTCATGACTTTGAGAGACAATTACCAGAAGAGAATGCGAAGAATATTGGCTAAGAGTAGAGCCAAACACACGTAAGTAGAGAAGCCGTCGGCGCTATCCGTGTCTTTGATTTGCTTGTATTGAGGAATATATGGCACAACACCGCCGAAGATTATCCCTGCAATCAGTGCTCATTGGCATCACTTGTTCATTATATGCATCAATATATGGATCAAATACCTGCTGATGCCATGTATGACAACAACTGAGGGAAAGACAATTCGTGCCATTCTTCAGAAATCCAATCCATTGTCACAACAATTCACTCAATGTTTGTATCGTTTATTTAATCACTTATTTTAGATCATAATTAGTGTTATAAACGATTCAATGGTTCACAAGAAGTGAAGTAACGGACAAAATGATGATTCAAATCAATTGAAATCAATGTTAGTATGAATTGAATGTTTGATAACATATTGTGATTACAAAACATATGATAACAACAAAAGTGTTTACTTTTCGTCTTTAAGTGCTTAGCAATGGATAGTATGGAGTGATTGAGTCATCGCTTCATGAAATGCACGAATAAATGTAAAGAACATTTCATGGCTTTCAACCTAACTCTCTCTCTCTCTCTCGCGGAAATAACGTCGGGTTATATTTTAATAAATTGTAACGTCTTTTATGATTTTGAAAGTATGAATTAATTGCGGGGCAATGA